TTCTCTGCCGGTCTTGCCGTCAGGTCCGCAGACTGCCGGCAGCCCGGGTTTCTCCTCCCCCTCCTGCAGCTCCCCGTGCTTTTCCTTCCTGACGTTTGGGGACCTAGCGCGCGGTGGTGCCTGCGGTAGGCCGCGGCCGTGCCCTCGCCCTCGGTACTGGCCGCCTTTCTGAACTCGGAAGCATCGCACAGAGGGGGGAACAAAGGGCCCACATTGGGTTACAGAGCAGATGCTGGGAATGGCCCCCGGGGGTTGGGGGGCGGGCCCGGTGCGTGCGCCCTCGTGAAGCAGGCGCCGGGGTGGCTGTGCCGCAGAGCGCCGCGCAGCGGCTGCGCCTCACACAGGGCCCGCTCCTGCCTCCGAACGCGAAAGTAGCTCGTTAAAGATTAAAGGGACTGCCCGGTCCTCCTGGTCCCAAGATGGAACCGTTCCTGCGCGGCGACGGTCTTCGTCTCCCAGGAGAGGCCATTGTATACAGCGGGTTTGTGCTTCCAAGTGGCACAGCGAGCCCGCGGCGGCCGATGCCGCGGTGATAAGTCGGCCTTGGGGGACTGCGAAGACACACGAGGTGCACGGCCTCCCGCGGTTTGCGTGTGTGGGCAAGACTGCCCCCACGAGCGTTCAGCAGCCTCCGCGCTCAGCCCCTGTCTGTGGGGAGGTTTTCTCCTTTGTGTTATTTGACTGTTCTGTTGAGTCAGGTGAACTTGAATCTTCGCAGTCGTAAAAATCCCGCAAAGCCCCTGTGCTGCACGCACCCCAGCTGTGAAAACGTCTGGGGGTAACAGGACCGCGGGTGACTGCCCAGACCCTTACCAGCAGCGGGGAGGGGCCTGCAGCGCATCACGCCGAGCGACAGGCACCGTGACCACACTCTTACAGGGGACTCAAGGGACAGACTGAACAAACACGGGAAATGGGGACAGGCTCACAGATGGAGAGCAGGGTGGCAGCTGGGTGGGCGGGGGGAGGTTGGGGGTGGAGGGACTGCGCAAAAAGGAAAAAGGACTTGTGGACAGGGACAGCAGTGGGGTGATTGGGGATGGGGAGGGTGTAAGGGGACTAAATGGTCATGGAAAAATACAATAAAGATTAAAGAAAAACATCAAAACATAAAAATAAAATCCTCAAAAGTAGTTAGGATAAATGTCTCTGGGGGCCTGAAGAAGATAATGGGCCAGTGGACAACATAAATTCAGCCCAATTGCTCTGTTTTTTGGCCTTTTCTCATGGGGGAGGGGACTGACGTCTAAGACGCGCTTAGTGAGACTGCTGTTCAGCTTGGTGGTGGCTGAACAGCAACTTTGCAGAGAGCACGTTTCGCTCAGGGAACACAGCTCTCACCTGTCTCTCAAAACACGACCCAGGGCCTGGCGGCATCACGGTCACGTGGGAGAGGAAGATGCTCATTAAAGATGCGGACTCTGGAGGCTCCCTGCAGGTCCGCGGGTTCAGTGCCTGGGGCTGGGTAAGCACTCCTGTTGGTTCTCGAGTGCGCTTGGAGTCGATCTTGAATATCCTCAAGTGGCCTTCATTTTTCATGTTTAGTTTCTGTGATTTATTAGATGTCAGATGTTTTGGAGGTATACTAGTTTAAAAAAAAAAAAGTTAGCCCTGGCTGGCGCAGCTCAGTGGATTGAGCTCAGGCTGCGAACCAAAGTGTCAGGTTCGATTCCCAGTCAGGGTACATGCATGGGTTGCAGGCCATGACCCCCAGCAACCGCATATTGATGTTTTTCTCTCTCTCTCTGTCTCTCTCTCCCTCCCTTCCCTGTCTATAAATTAAAAAAAAATCTTAAAAAAAAAAAGTTAAGGGAACCCAGAATGCCAGAGATTCGAATTTGGCTATGTCTCTAGTTTTCCACATGGTGAGACAACCACTGTTTTCTGGGTTTATCAGTCCACCACCTGTGAGGCAGAAAAAGTACATGGACATACTTAAGATTAATTTTGTTAAAAAGAAGAAATGTGCAGTATTATTGAGGATGTTGTGAATGGGAGAGTAGGTGGGTGTTGAGAGGAGAAAGTGAGAAGGGGACAAGATTAAGTAGTTTATAAATGGTAAAAAATTTGTCAAGTTCAACTGAATTTTAGTTTTTTTTTGTTTTTATTTTTTAAAGGTTTTATTTATTTTTAGAGGGTAGGGGAGGGAGAAAGAGAGAGAGAAACATCAATGTGTGGTTGCTCCTCATGTGCCTCCCCGACTGGAGACCTGGTTGACAACCCAGGCATGTGCCCTGACTGGGAACTGAACTGGTGATCCTTTGGTTCACAGGTCAGTGCTCATTCCATTGAGCCACACCAGCCAGGGCTCAACTGAGTTTTAAATTACCGTATTTGGTAACACTTGGATATATGCTTGTTGTTAAGAACAATTCAAATGCCTGTAAAACTAAAAATACCTCCTTGATCAGCTCTGATTGCCGTTCCCTCTTGGGCAGGTGTGTCCTTTCATATCTTTCTCTGTGGATTTGGTAATTTTCTACGGATTTGGAAAGCTACAGATTTCTGAGAAGCGAATTATTTTTAATTCTCCTGACACCTGCTTTATAATGTTAATATATATTGCAGAACAAAACGTGGGTTATCAATGACATTACATACTCCTGTTCACACAAAACAATGGGTGTGGACGTGTGCACATGTTACATACATACCTATACACACAAAACATACACACATACACACACACCTAACGCATCTGTTGTGACCCCTGGGAAAAGTGAACCTAGGTAGCTTTGGGCGGTGCATTACTTGTGTGACTTGTAAGGCAGTGAAAGAACTTAAGTGCAAGGCCACCGTTATTTTTTAAATTTCCCGTACATATTTTTATATTCTAATGGTTTTCGTTTAACCTCATAAAACCTCAAGCGGCTGAAATCATTATTTCGAATTCAGCATCTTTTTAAAGCTCCAAATGTGTAGTCCTCAGCCTTTTCCGTTTAAAGGCAGTAACTAGGAGGGAGTGTGTTTCGGGGGGGGGGGATCCCAACCCGGGAAACGATCATCTGTGCTGGCTTATCTCACCTGCTGCGCGGGGTTCATCTCCGCGGAGGTAGGGAGTTCCGGAGCTTCTGGCCCTCGCGGTGCTGTCCGTATAATTTACATGTATTTCCTGGGCACGGCACCTCCGGGTTTTCCCTTCCTTATTGACTAATACAGATGAGTCAGATGCTTCTCACAATACTTTTTTTCCCCCTTTGGAGGTTGTGTATTCGTCTGTACTGTATGGGCCCCGAGCGTTGCTTCACATGAAAACGTTGTGACTTATCACCCACTGCAGCAATATTTCTTGACGATGTGTGGCCCCTGAGATAATGGCGGTTAACTGTTGGAAAGGTGCTTTTATCATTGGAAAAGGACTAATTAGCAGACACTGTAGGAAAACTTTAAACAGCCATTTTCTTTTTCCACGTTTAAATTAAATTAAGTGTTTTATTTATTGTATTTTTTTTTCCCCAACACAGCCGTTTTTCTGAAAAGGACAACGCTGAAGGGGAGGACATAAACGAGGGAACGTAAAAAGTAAAATAAAATAAATAAGAGAGGGAACATAAAGCGTTCTACAGGCTCAGTGTGGCTATCCTACTGTAATAATGTAATTAAGGGGAATGAAGTGATTGGATAAATAACTTTTTTTTTAAACTAGCCTGTTGAAAAGGAATAAAATTAAGTAGCGTAGTTTTTAAAACCCAAATTATGATGGTCTACATACATATTTTAGTTGACCTAATAAAATAACATTTACTGAATGACCGTTGAGTCGGCAGCTACGTCCGGTTTGCACCTGTGAGGCCTCCCTGGGAGGATGGGTGCAGCTGGGTGTGGTGGCCTCGGATGACCAGGCCAGGAAATGGGTGATGACCGTGAGGAATTTCAGGCAGGGAACAGAAGGATCTCATGTGAACTCGAGTTTATTTTTTGTCAAATGAAAACAGAAAGCAAGGCCTTAATTTGTTATTTTCTCTCTCTCTCTTTTTTTTTTTAGATTTTATTTACTTATTTTTAGAGAGGGAAGGGAGGCAGAGAGAGAGAGAGAGACATCAATGTGTGGTTGCTGGGGGTTACAGCCCGCAACCCAGGCGTGTGCCCTGACTGGGAATTGAACCTGCGACACTTTGGTTTGTAGCCTGAGCTCAATCCACTGAGCTTCGCCAGCCAGGGCTTGTTGTTTTCTTTGTATAGCACCAGTGCCAGCTCTAGCCTGTCAGGGCAAATTCAATAATAATTAGTTGCTCTTGATGATCCAGTCATTCTAGAATTGATTTTTTAAAAAGTAAGCTGGCCAGTAAATGAGAATTGACAAACCGAGGGATTTTTTTTTTTCTTTTAAAAGTGTTCCCGCAGCTTTCCCAGACTCCTGTATTCCTTCAGCGTCTAGCAGGCAGAACGGTGGATATAGTTCAGCTTGAGTAGAGAGAATGTGACAGCTGATGAAACAGAACCTCCAGTATTTCTGTCTTGATTGGAGAACTTGAATTGTCGGAGGAAGTCGAGAGGCCAGAGGAGGCCTAGAGGGGGAAGAAGGGCGATTCTGGCTGGAGCTCACAAAAACTCTCCCTAGTGACGGAACAGCCCAGGTCCTCAGGCCCCAGGTGCTGTAGTTTGGAAATGGCAGAGAGATTTCTTGACCAGCCTCTTGGGGGCGATCTTCAGAGCCCGGGCCCAGCTCCCTCCAGGCATCTTGCTGTCCTGAGCCCCAGCTGTTCTCAGATGAAATTTCAGAAAGTGATCACCGGAGCTTTCTGGGGAAAGGTTCCAGAGTCCTGCAGAGGGGCCGGCATTAGGGGAGTGAGGTTTACCTGTCCCCAGTCATCAGCACTCAATTAAAAAAAACACAAAAACAGTGGGGCACCTTTCCCCTTCCAGGTTGCAGTGCGCTGCGGTGAGCTCCGGCTCCGGCTGAGTTGTTTGGGAAGTGTGTTTGCCCGGCATGAGTCAGCACGGCCCTGGGTAAACCGCCTGCTCTGTTGCAACCCTGCTTACCAAAGATATGTCCCCAGGCGGCACCATTCACTTTGCCTGAAAGCCGCTGCTGTTGGTTCCTGAGATGATCTCATCCGAATGCTGCTGCAAGGACTTCAGCCGCTGGAACTGGAGGCAGCTTGCTTTCTGCCCTGGCAATGTTTTGAAACAGGCAAAAATCAGGTAACCCCAGATTCTTTCTCTTAGTTTTATTAGCGAGACTGGAGCTGCAGTGGAAAATTCTTAGTACGCGGAAGTGAGTCACTGCCCTATCTTCGGCTGTCTCGAAGTTAATCCTTCAGCTCTTTGGGGCTTGAGTGGGGAAAGTTTTTTTTTTAAGATTTAATTTATTTTTTAGAGAGGGAAGGGAGGGAGAAAGAGAGAGAGACATCAATGTGCGGTTGCTGGGGGTCATGGCCTACAACCCAGGCATGTACCCTGGCTGGGAATTGAACCTGCAACACTTTGGTTCACAGCCCGCACTCAATCCACTGAGCTACGCCAGCCAGGGCTGGGAAAGTTTCATTCATTTGGCCTCTGGATACGGTTGTAGACCTAATTAGACCATTTATTATTTAAACATTAGAGAAGTCAAACCAATTTACAGCTTTATCCATCTTTCCTCTTGTCTTCTGTTCTTTTTTGTCTTTGAGAAATACTTTAGTCAAACTAGTGGTTTTAAAATAATACTTTATTAATTTGAGAGAGAGAGACATCAGTTTGCAGTCCCACTTGTGCATTCATTCGTTGGCCGGTTCTCGTGTGCACCCTGACCGCGGAGCAGACCCTGGCGTATCAGGATGGCGCTCTAACCCACTGAGCTGCCCGCCTGGCTGAAACGGAACGAGTGTTAAAGGAAGAGAGAGGCAAACGTATTTGCTTATCTGCCTAGTTATCGTGAGTGTTGAATTTCAGAGAACACTCACTGTTCCCCGGTGAGTTCCCGAACCCCTGTCCGCGGTGTTATGAAGAACCTGCTCTGGTCCCTGATTCTGTTGAGCCTCCTGCCCTCTCCCCCTCCGCCTCACCTCTGAACTTTTTAGTAAGTCTTCAGCCTCGACACTAGGTAACTGCCCCCATCCAAGTTTGCTTCTGCTCCTTGCAGTTGCCCCAAATATCCATGCTCTCTTTTGCCCCGGGCCCTTGCACAGACAGGCCTTCTCCGAAACACCCTGCCCCGACCCCACCCTAGTGAGCGGGCCTGAGCCTGGGCATCTCCTTGATTCACCGGGAAGGGCTGGCTGGTGCTTGGGCGCACCCTGGGTTTGCTCTGATCATGGGTGTATTGAACATCGGCATCTTCTATCAGCATTGTATCCGGGGTGCTTGGCACATAGCAGGTTCGCAGTAAGGGTAGAACGAGGAAGAGTCCGTACTCCCACAACTCTGCCCCTCTCCACAACCCTTCGCTTGGGCTTCCGCCCCTGTTACCCTACGCATGTTTTCCTGAAGCTCCCCAGTAAGCTCCCGACCACCTAACCTGCTGCCCTGGCTTCAGCCTTTATTTTATTACTTCATCTCTGCCAAGCACTTAGCACTGCTGAACCGTTCTTTTCTTCCCCCAGCAACACTCTCCGTTTGGCCGTGAGGCCTCCTTGTCCTTTCTGAGTTTCCAGCGTGCTCTCCCGTTACTCTCTTTGGATTATCCTGTAACTGTTGACGGTGCAAGGTTTTGCCTTGAGTATGTTTTCATTCTTCCCCAGCCCCTTCCTCTAAGGATTTCTAATACACCCATAAATTCAACTGTCTTCAGGATTTTTTACCAGCCCAGCTGTTTGTCCCAAATTTCAGGTCCGTCCATCATCCCTCCCTCCCTCCTCACCTGAGGACGTGCTTATTGATTATAGAGAGAGAGGAGGCGGGGAGAGAGCTAGGGAAACGTTGGTTGCCTCCCATACCTGCCCAGACTGAGGATTGAACCTGCAACTAGGTATGTGCTCTGACAGGGGACTGAACCCACAACTTTTTGGTGTATGGGACGATGCTCCAACCAACTGAGCCACCCGTCCAGGGCCAGATCTTATTTCCTGCTTCACAAGTCTTGACAGACTTTGTCTAGCTCGACAAACCTTCCAGTATGTTCAAAGGCCCTTCGGCTCCAGGCGCACAGAACAGCTCATGTCTCCCCTGCCCGGTACCCGTCATCTGCGTCTGTTGCTGTGTGTTTGAACTCGGTTAATTAGATCCACCAAATCTCCCTGTTTACTCTTTGTAGACTTCACATCCTCCAAATGTGCTAAATCTATCATTGCTAAACCCTGTTGATTACTACTCTACTGGAGTACTGTTTGATGTGTCCTTTCTTAGTTCCCACTGTTATTGCCTAAGTTCACCGGAGGTCAGAAACTAGACGTTTTGTGTAATGAGCCCAACGGCTTCGAGTGCGGCTGCTCTTAGTCAGGGCCCACGTTGTGCTCCTCAAAGGTCAGGGGCAGCCCCGTTCTCTCCTGTCTCACACCCTGAAGGCTTTACCCCACACTAAAGCCTTTGCCTCTGGGGGCTGGAGTTTCTAACTTCTAGTTCAGTCCTTATCTCAGCTCCGTCTGCATACAGTTGCCAGTTATCTTCCTAAAGGCCACATCTAATCTTTTTATTCTGGGCTTTTCAGAGTGCGGTTGGTTCCTTATTTCCTGCTGAGCTTCCTTAGGTAAAGTCCTTCCCAGTTGGGCCCCATCCTCTACCTATCTTATCTCTGTTACTGTTACCTGTCTTATCTGCTTCTCCTTTCCCAGGCCGGTTCTCTCCTCTCTGACCTCACAGAACTCCTCATTTCCTGGTTCCTGGTTTTCCAGTGTCCTTTCTGGGCTCCGGCTAGTGCTCGTGGCCTCCCCTTCTCCGGCCGGCCGAGTAAGTGCTCATCCCCCACGAGCCTCAGTCCATACGCCACACCCTTTCTGCCTTTCTCACGTAGGGTTCTTCTCTTTATTTCTTCATTTACTTATTGGTTGATTTTCGAGCAAGAGAGAGAGAGAGAGAGAGACTTGACTTGTTGTTCCACTTACTTGGGCATTCACTGGTTGGTTCTTGTACGTGCCCTGACTGAGGATCGAACCCGTAACCTTAGTGCAGCGGGAAGACACTCTGACCAACAGAGCTTTCCCGGCCAGGGCTTATTCTTTCTCGTTTAGATTTCCGCAGCACGGTGTGTCCCTTCCACTAGCCTGTTGAGTTCTGTGACAGTGCCTGGTCCTGACCTGGTTCCACCAGGCAGTGGCTGACGTGGGTCTCCAAGGTCAAACCACTAGTTCAGATGTCTTCATCAATCTTAGCAGTATTGGGACGTGTGTAAGCTCTTTTATGAGACGGCATGTTTTTGGTTCCTGTTTGATGAACTTGAGCCCATGGTGCCTAATCCATGTGTGTCTGGAACCGTCAGGTTAACCATTCAAAGTTAGTTTGAAGATTTATGGGCCTCGCTCAAACTGGATTCCACGGTGTCACCTAACACTTTCATAGCATCAGTACTGTACAAAGTTATTCCCCTGTGTCATTTTACTTGATACAAGTACCTGCAGCACCCTTTGTTGGGTAGGCTTTATTATCCCTGTTTTACTGGTGGTTGTGAAGCTACTTCTGACATGGAAACCTACATTCAGGTAAGACTCAGAGAGAAAATGTGCTTTTACGTTGCGTCAAGCAGTTGGTTTGTCTCTTGCACTTAAATAGACCTTATTGACTTGCCCGGCAAAGGTGCCTCTGCTCAGGGCGCACGTGCCGAAGACCTTGCCTTTTCCAGGTCCCTTCGGTCGGAGGGGAAGGAGGCGGTTCCCAGGGCCTGCCTGACCTGTGGAAGGGCCTCGACAGCGTTAAGAGACCTTGACTGGAGTTAGTGCGCCTGCTCCAACCTCTGAAGCTTTTCCTTTGTACTCGGATGGTGTAGAATCTGTTAAAACGTAGTGCAGAAGCGGAGTGTCAGACCAAGTTGATGAGTGAAGGGAGTCATCACAGAATGGAGGAAGTTGAGTGTCGACAGCAGAAAAGCAGTTCCAATAAGTGATTACGTTGGTAGGGTAATTCACATTTTTGGGGGGTGCCAATATGCTGTGTTCGGGACGGTGTGGAGTTTGATTGTAGAAAGATGAACCGCAAGGGCTAGGAAATAATCTCTGTTAGATGCTGGTATCCAGTTTTGGTCCCCACATACTTCAGAGAGGATAAAGAGGATTAAAAGTTAAAAAAAAATAAGTCATCATACGTTTTTTTTAAAAATGGAAGATTTTTAGCCTGGAGGAAGGAAAAGCTAAGAGATGATGGATTGATTACCATCTTCAAGTACAAGAACGGTTTCTGCCAGGGGGATTCTGATTAATTGTTCTTCATGTACTTCAAAGACTTGAAAGGAAACGGGTTTAAATGGAAGGAGGAGTAATTCTAATGAATATGAGGAAGAGTCTGGTCTTCAAAGTCGAGAAGCATTTGAACGGCTGCTCAAAGTGTTGAGTTTCTGTTCGGCTTATGTATCACCGAGTCACAAATCACCCTGAAGCTCTCGGTGGCCTCAGATGACAACCGTCTCATTGCCAGTCACTCCGTGGGTGATGCAGGGAAGAGCAGCGTGTTGGTATGCCCCGCGTGACGGTGATGAGACCCGAGGGCTCCCCACGGCGCCGCCCAGACGGCTGGGGCCTCAGTGCTGGCGGCTGGCCGGGGCGTCTTGGTTCTCCTCCACGAGGTCCATTTCTCTCTTGGCTTCTCACCACTCATCAGTGTAGATCTGGCTCCTTTTCCCTGGGGGATGACTTCTGGGGCCCCACAGTGGGAGCTGGGGAGCCTCTTAAGGCCCAGGCCCGAGAGTCCCGCATCATCTCTGTGCCCCAGGATTTCGGTCATAGCGAGTCACGAGCGTGGCCCATATCCAGTGGGAGGGGACACGGGCAGGAGCAGAGTGCCAGAGTCACACTGCAGGAGGGCGTGCCGTGTGGTTGGGATCGTTGTCCCCGATTTTGGAAACCGTTTACCGCACTGACCTGGGAGATTTTTATTGCGAATAGTCAATACATGTTAATTGGGTAGATAGTTTGAGCATATGCTTTATGAACTTGGTCGCATGTCAGGGTCGCATGTCAGGGTCACCTGGAAGCCTTGTATAAGCACGGACTCCTTAGGTACCATACATGTGAGTCCAGGGCTCCTGAGGGTGTCGGCACTCGAGAGACCTGTTCCCTTTCCCTCAGGTGGCTGTC